GTCCCTGATACAGGAAGTCATTTAAAGAAGTTCCGGACAGTTTGGCAGCGCAGTCCAGCACAACTCTTACCTTCCCCGGTTTCTTGGGGTTAAATACGGCATGATGCGGCAAATACCATCGTGGGCGGTAGCTAGGATCAAGCTGGGGCTCAGGAGCTACTGCTGCATATCCCTTTCTGATGGTCTCTTCCATGGCGCTAGTGTAGCTTTCGCGAAGGCTTTCAGAGGATATTAGTCTGCGTTTCAAACTCTCCAAACGTCGCCTGGCTACTTCGCATCCACCGTATACTCTCTTGGACTCCATTTTCCAGGGCAAGGGGACAACGAAATGTCCATTATCCCAATAAGTACCTCGCTGCACTATGTTTACAGCGGCTAGGTCATCGAGAGATAACGACTTATCTCCCGAGTACAAATCGCTGAACTCATAATCGTAAATTTTCTTCCATTGATCGACTAATAGATCTGACCGAGACGTACAATTCACAACCCTCTCCCTGTGCTCACGAAAGCTTGTCGGACCGAACACGACCCAGCCCAACAATGATCTCACAGCATATGGGCTCTTTCTGCCCCCTAACTTCTGATCTAGAACCCAGTGAGCCTCAGGTACATCGCAACCGATGAGCAGCAATACCTCCCCGTCTTCCACCTCTGTCCAGGGTACGTCAGTCAGATGCGGCCACCTTTTAATACTTTCTCGCATCGACCCTTTAGGTCTCCGTACTGGGAGATCTCTTGCCACAACTGCTCGATCTATAAGTATGCATTCGTTTCCGTCTAGTGAATAAACTTCGAAAGGCTTGCTGACTGAGTCCGCCAATCTACTTCCACTAACAGTTTTGATGATAGTCTTTGTGCCGTCAGTCGACAATCCTAGAAGTTGCAAAACATCTTTCGTGATCAAAGTTGTATCAGAGCCATTGTCCAAGATAGCATAACCGTAAACCTCTTTATTACCGTGCTTTACACGTACCGGGAGTAGGCCCAAACACACGCTTTCTCTGAGAGACTCAGTGCATCCACAACTACCTTTCTCCGGTTGTTCGCCTACGGCGTGGTGGGTCTTCTTGTGTAACAGAGGGTGATGGTATGCTTTACAACCTTCTACACTGCACACCCCGTGAATTTTACATTCTACGGACCTGTGGCCCCTTTTAAGACATGAAAAACAACAACCTGTTTCTTTAGCCTTCGACCATCTCTCATCCACCGGTAACGACAGAAATGTGGTACATTTTGTGACTACATGGTTCCCTCCACAAAATATACATGAAGGTTTCAGGACTCCCCCAACGGGTACTAGCTGCTGCGTGGAACATGCTATTTTACTATCTGGTCGTCGACTGCTTGTTGCCAGCTGTCCAAACCTACTTAGCAAAATGCTCGCACGTGCTGACACAAACTGCGTTAACTCTGCGAAGGTAGGTTCTCGTTCGGTTTCAGTTAGCTTTTCGACAGTCTCCGCCCATTTCATCTGTAACACACGGGGCAATTTCTTTACTATACCTTCTAAAGTTCTCAAGGAGTTAAGGTCCGCAGTATAGTCCATTTGCTCTAGGGCTATAGCGCAGTTTTCCATTTTTATAGCTAACCTCGACATTGCCTCAGCATCGTTTTGTTCTATGTTCGAGCATTCCATCAGATCCTGTAGTAAGGCCCGGCTGACTTCATGAGTCCTTCCAAACAAACGTTGAGTATATCCCGAGCCCTACGATAACCAGCAGATGGTGGTAACATAATGCATTCCTCTATAGCCTCCCTGGCCTTACCTTTACAGTAATGTAACAAGTATAACAGCCTCTGTCCATCATCATCAACCTTAGAGACAACGTAGAGCTCAAACTGCCTCATAAACTTCCAATATTTGGCTGGATGTCCGTCAAAGCTGCTTAATTCTACTTTCGGCAACTCATGGCCAACACTGACACAAGGCAACGTAGCGGCAACCCCTTTGTTTTCTGCGCTGCTCGCCTGGCTAGTCGTTTCACGATCAGAACTGCTATGAGGGTCAATGCCAAGACAAACTGATTTGTGACACTTTATATCATCATCCAAGGAAAAGGTATCACCTAAACCCCCATTCACATCTAAGTTGAGTTCTTTATGCAGACGCAACCTTTCCTGTCTTTGTTTAGCCTTGAATTCACGAAGTTCCAACTCTTGCCTTTCATCCAACTGTCGTACCTTCAACTGAGCAGAGGTCCTACAAGGACTAGTCTTACTATAGTCAATAACTGTACCATTATCAGAGCCACGGCATGAAATAACATCAAGAGGGACTTGCTTGGTATCTGAGGTCGGATCCATGGACATGTCACCTTCCCCGTCCGGAATTGACTCAAGGAACACCTTGCGATTGCCAGGTACAGCAGTGACGGGTTGTTGAGTACTGTAGCGGCCAGAATCCAATAATCTTGGCCTGAACGCGGGAAATAGCTAGGCGGTGCCAACTGACGTGAATCTGACTAGTTCCTGCGTTCTACTGTATAGCTTCCTAACTTCCGCGAGTGACGCACAGTCAAAGGTTGGATCGAAATATCAAAACACGGTTTGTAGTAATTCAATAGTAGATTCGTAACAAAATCTGTGGTACTATCAAAGCAACAATAAGTTATGTCAAATTACAAAAATACCTCAACAGTGCCGTTGGGTAACTATACAGTCCAAAACGTTCTCGGGTACAAATACGTACTACACGGTAAAAACTGGTTAAAAAATACAACTGTTAAATACCTGTCGGTCAATAGGAATATTCCCGGCAAAAGGGATCAAAACTCTGCCTACAGGAATCAAATCAACAAACAAACGTTCCCAGTAGACAGTCAAAAGACAAACAGTCAAATCACTGCACAACCGTAAGTTGAACCAAAACAAAATGTCGTGCGCAGTAAAACAACATCACCTTATCAACAGTCCAGCGTCACATAATAGGAAAGTGAAACACTCATAATAAGTCTCAAACATACAAAGGCAAATACCGAGTGTAAAGTCAAATAAGACAGTTAAACAAGCAAATAACATTACACCGGCGAGGGTCAAAGGTACACCATCCATAACGAGGGTAAAAATGTTAAAATAAATGTCAATACAATCAAATAAGGGTGATCGGGAGGGATTTTCAGATCATTTTTCCTTTACACTCAGTGCGTGGGAGCAAAAGAATGCTTGAATTGTCAACAATATCCCGATACCTAGAAACGGAAAGACTTCGCGCAACACGAAGTACGTCACAAAGATATTTCACTCGAATGTGATGATGAAAAGACTCATATGCCATATGCATAGCATACACGACCACATTTATAATGGTTGGAAGTTTGAGTGCTCAAGGTATGATCCTTGTACAGGCGGAAAATACACTAAAAATATGCAGTAGATAGTGACTATGGTGAACACATGAATGCTTTAAGTTGATCTGAATAAAATTTGCTTAGCCACGTCATTAGCCTCCAGTATGTGAGGACCGCCATTGTCCGCGTTCCGAATAGGGATGTCACTGCCACCGCAGGCTGGTTCAGGACTGGTTCAGACACGAACTGCCAGTGGAAAGAAGTCTGTGTCATAGTACTGACGGAAGATACATAATGACCAGAAGGTTACAAACAAAGTACTTAGTTAGGCTTTGAACATAGTTTGATGGTGGAAGCCGATATTGGAAATTATTAAGAGAAGAAACTTTTCTCTTCCACTATTCGTTTTCAAAAGCTGAAGATCGTGATCATGGTTACGACAAAATATCCATGTTCACCAGTGGCTGATGGGTTTACACAGGGTCATCGAAAACTATCTGCATAGACGCAAAGTGATAACGGCTAGAAGGTGGAACAAAGTTGACCTAGAGCTGCTTGTTGGATTGTAGCAAATAAACCAAAAGAAGTTCACCGCAGCAAGGGCTGACCGACAGAATCTGATCAACCCAACCATGTCACGCACAGTCAGCTTCACCCTGGTACATCTTCGTTGAACTTCAGTGAGAAGTCTTATTTTTTGGCTCATCGCTTCACATTGGAGAATGGAACGACACAAACAAAGGGATCCATTCATTCGGTTGCACTCTGGATTAAAGAAGCTTGGCGTTATCTGACTGACATTTGTACAGCTTCTCCTGAGGCCTTCAGACAGACTGACTGCATTCAGGAGGCTTTATCCTCGTGCAGAAAGTAGGCAGGAGCCACAGCAGAGGAGCCCTGTGTAGTTATGATATTTCATTCGTGCCTTTTAGGGTTTCTTGGAGTCAAGCAAATAACTGTGACCAACAAAGTTAGGAGCTTTTACTACCAATGGAGATGATGAATTCAACCAGCAAACATCATGTAATTAGGGACTCAGTGGTAGAAGTAATTTGGGCTATCGAAATGTAGAAGGGTTCCAAATCCGTCTCAGGATATAAACAACGTGCAACAGGATAAGGTGAACATAAATTTCTAAAACCAGGAGGATTAAGGTATAGGCCAGACAAGATAACACCGGGGCTATATCCCTTGAAATATGGGCAACCGAGATGCATTCCAAGGATAAAACATTACACTATGTGACTCTCTGGTAATAAGTCACATGATTTGCCAATGCTAAGTCAAAATACGAGTCTTGGGGCGCACCCGGAGTTTGGAAATTGGACAAAGTAAAACGGTCACGCAGAGTAAACTTTTCTCCAGAAAACTGCGAATACCCTAGTGCCCCTTAACGTCGACTTTTTTCAACCAACACCACGTGAGTCGTTAAAACACCAACTTGTTGTCCACTTAAAGTTACAGCGTTAGCTTAGAGACCAAGTCACCTTAAACCAGAGTCATGTCTAATTTTTGATCAATACACCTAGTTCCTCATGCATCATGCTATCATTTCACCTACTGTGAATGTGGAAGCCGGCCGAACGAGAGCTTGTATTCTACAGATGAAAAATAGAGACAATTTGTTTGTCTTTATCAACACTGTCTTAGAATCTGAAGGTTGTTAGTTCTACGAAATTGAGATTCACCAAAATATCTTGAGAAAGCATGAATGCGATTTTTCGCTTTTTCAGCAAGAGATTTCGCCGAAGCCCCAGTGCTCCTGCACCCAGTCATGTTGAAGAATCTGTTTCTGTAAACAAATCTAGGAAACTCAAGAAATCAGACCTTGAATGTAAGGTAGCCTATCTTGATGGTACCGAGCAAACCTTCTATGTTTCGGTAATGCTGTGAAAGAAACATGTTTACTGTTTAACAGAAAAGTGCCAAAGGTTCAGAATTAATTGACATAGCTTTTGCATATGTTGCCTTGATCGAGGAAAAGGATTATTTTGGTTTGCAGTTTGTCAGCCAAGTTCCGGTATGTCAATTTGAACGTAAATCGCATAATGTCACAGATATGGTTGGATCCACGAAGGAAATCAGGAAGCAGTATAAAAGTTGGTCACAGTTAATGTCTTGGAATTTTTAAAGAAAATATGTTAGTTGTATCTTACTATTATCCTTTGACTTTCTGTACTTTTTCGGCTTCGAGATATAGAATAAAGCAGCTGTTTTCTCAATTTCAGCAGGCTTGCAAAACAAACGCTATGACTTGAAGTACAACAATTGGGAAACTTGCCCATGCATCTCAGTTTAGTACTAACCAGGGTCACTGCCAGGAAATCTGTGACTGGACCTGGATTTCATCTGCACATTTTATGTTAGCTGATAGGATCAAATAAGACAATCCGCTTTTAAAATATTTTACTTATTTTTCCAATTTTACTGCGACCAACACTGTAGGTTGCAAAATGTTCTGGTAGGGAGCGTCTAAGTAGGGTAATATGTTTTCGACTTCAACTCGTGTGTTCGAGGCAGTTAACCATAACCTATCGCCAAATGTTAAGTGTAAGAATCAGTTAGTTATCCGATGTGTGTTTTATGTGATTCTTGTTGAAGATTAACCACAACAAACCGAAACCAGAAACCTGTTGAATGACCTGGGACATCTAATCAGATTTGTCGGGAGTGAGCAATACGCTTATGAGGAAGAAGTGTAACTAATGATACAAATATGAAAAAATTGAGTAAATAGTTACAAAAGACGGTTTCCCTGCGCATACCATGCAAGTATCTCCCGGTTTCCCAAAAAGGAAAGTGAGAACTCCAAATGATGTTACTTGGCAGATAAGATGTTGTGACTGATTATTCAACACCACTTGTCAGGTTTTGATTTCAAGTCCCTATGATCTACTTTCACTCGACTTTCTAATGCTGTGAATCTGTCCGTGGTTTATTTATTATCATGTGATTCTTATGAAGATTACACTGTCTGGTTTTGAGCATAGCAAACAACTTTAGTGGTGGAGTTACTTAAGTGACTACTGGGAACTTTTGATATACTTTAGGAATTTAGGGAGTTAACCCACAATGTATATCCGGCGCATCTCTGAATTTGCGGAAAGTTGGATCAAATTTCTGAGTGCATTTTAGAATTTTTGCCAAAATTTTTGGTGTTGTGATTTTTGTGGTCAACTTAGCATATATTAAAGAATACCTGACGGAGCTCCTCAAAAATATCAGTGTCCCCAGTATTTGTCATCTGGCTAGAAGTTAAGTTGTTCTGTGAGTATGTCCACTTGTTTTACTGACTGTCGTACATTGTATGTGCTACAAAAGTACTCTTAGGCATGAAATAGACTTGAATGAAACTGCGTATTTTATCTAGATACAAATACAGATACAAATTTTCTATCTTTACTGCTTTTACTGTGCAACATAATATCACTAAATGTGAAGTTATACGATTATCGGCTGTAGATATTTAGGTCACTAATCCATAATTTGCCATCTTTTTCCATACATGTTAAGTTGTATAGCTTCCGTTTAGGGACAAATAAAGGCTGTTTACAGCAGATGGTTGTATTTCTAATGCAAAACCATAAATGATACTTCCATTTTACCTACAGTTAACTCCTATTTACCCAACATTTGGGGATTTTACTAACTCGTTTTGGATATTTTTTGTTGGTCTTAAGACTCTGCTTACCTTTGAAGTAATACTCATCATAGAAGTTTTTCTGAATATCTTTTGACGGTGACCACTAGTGAAATTCGAATTTCATGAAAGAAGTTCTAGCGTCACACACTTCCCTAAAATCGATAGCCTAGGATTTGACGAGATTCAACATTGATGCTGACCTTGTTAGTTTAGCTGGACCGGTAAGCTGAAGGCACCGGTCAAGCACTGTCGCCATTGGTGCGCTGTCGTGTTACGTTGCACTGCTCGTAATCAACTCTCTAGCCAGTTAGTTGAAACGCATCGTTATCCTGGCACGACCTCGCAAATATACTATTCCATTCGACTATGCTATTGTGTTCTTTCTTGGTCTCGTATTCCAGGGTGTATAACAAGTTCGAATAATTAGTGATTGACCTCTGTGTCTGTCAAGTTCGCACCATTTCAATTCCTAAAAGTCACGGCTCAAGAGTTCCTAATGGTGCTTTAGTTTCAGTGTACAGTAGGAAATAACGAGGATCAGTTTTTACTCATAAATCCATTAAAAATGCAGAGATGATAACTTCAAACCTTGGTTTTCCTCAAGTTAGCCTCCTTTTCTATCTAACGAAAAATACTTCAGTTGGTGCCATGCTACCAGCTAGGTATGAGAAGGACAGGAGCAACTTGTCAAGGTATTCCAATGTTCGAATAGACAGATTTGAAATCGTCATCTTAAAACAATACGCTCAATCAAAAACAGTTCCACTCAAATGCTGATAATATTCTGTCAATCTATGATCATCTCATATAGTAAGTCACAGTTTCTTGATACATCTGGGGAAGGTAGACTTAAAACTTTAATCATTAGAAAAACGTCTCAGTTCTTTTCCATTTTGCGAAAAGTTCAAAACATACCTTAACTAAGTGGCATGTAAACACTCATTTTCGCAGAGTCATACTTAATCAACTTTAATACACGGTGTCAAGAAGGAGTGATAAATATTTTTGTTTCTTTTGGGCAGTGTAGTTAGAAGACGAAACAATTTATTCGCGAAACACTTTTCAAGCTGTCTCAGCAAAAATGAACTTGTCAAGTCGATATATGAAACCCATGAACAGGAGGACAAATAGAACAGTTATGACATTGGGTGGTTGAGATTAAGAAAGATAATGAGGGGAGAATGACATATTTGATTCTAATCTCTGTACTAAAACATAAATTTTATCATGTTAAACGCAGTGTAAGGAAAAAAATGTTTTTGCACGTGTTAAGGCAGTTTTACTTTACGTATGATCATTGTTTAAGCAAGTCTGAGTATACACCGCTGAATGTCTTGATTTAAAGTTTTGAAAGCTGATCAACTATCGGGCTCTGTTTGGTTGGTTTATTAGATGTGTTCCACGGTGAAACATTATTATTTATCGATAATAATAGTAGTAATAAAAATATCTCTCTATGTGAAAACTAATAAACATATTGAAGTTGAAGCACAATACACCATAGTTCCCAAGTTTTACTCCCAAATTAATTCTGTGACCCGTTTATATAAAATAATTAAATATAGATAAAGAGGTTTGCCTCCCACCAGAGTTCATCTGTATTTATATTCCAGCTGTGTATAAGGTCGCCTAGTTACATGTTCCTCACCTCTTATTTACATGGCTCGGTTACTCAGTCCTATGATCAAACGTGTAAACTGGTAGTCAAAATAAAACGTTATATAGTTTTTCATGACGTTTTTGCGTTTGTACCGTGGTGTATGTTTTTCTAACAATGACAAACTTGGGGCATAATGTATTTCAGTAATGACATGTCTTATTCTTCCCCTTAAAGTCGTACTAATTGACTCTCCTGTTTACAGCAAAGTGATATAAATGGTTTTCTTACGGATCGAGTGTGAAATATGCCTGGTATTAACTTACTTCTATAGTGTTTTATAGACTTTGATGGATATTGATTTTCCCTATTTTTGGACGGTAATCCGATGTTTTTATCCATTCTGTCAGCTAAGATAGATTCTAATGAACACCCAGTTTATTAGACCTCACTCATATTGGATCAGATGAAACTGAAAATCCAGATATCGTTCTTTCTATGTAGGCGTCTTTTTCATCAAACATCTTATTGAATCATATTTTGTTCTGTCCAATAGTATTGCTAAGAATGGTAGATGATTGTTATTTTCATCTACACTGTTAGACTGATCTGTTTGTTTACTGTACTGAGTCTTTTTCGTAGACGAACTATATCCGCCTGCTTGTCACAAATAATGTGGTGTTGTCCACGTATCTCTTGTGGAAAAGAATTTCAGTGATCAGATCACAAGCCATATTTTCTGAATATGACATGTGAAGACTAGCTAGTGATGATCCTGATGGAATTTACATGGCTATATCGTCAACTTTTCGAAGGTTTTAAATATTCAAACGTGAACTGAGCTTTTACAGTAAAGAAGAAATGGAGTTCTCGCTGATAAGTTGTAGAAATGACGAATGAGGGATGGCTAAAGGTTAGTTAATCTCCAAGAATGCCAACGGTCTCGAACAAGAATTGGGATATTTTAGACGGTATCTTCCCTAAGAATAAATTTCTTCGACGTTTATGTTTCGATAATTTAATCGTAGGAAACAAAGAATATGATATGACGATGTTATGAAACATGATCCAACTTGCAGATAAACAGTGTCATACTGATCGAGTGAATCATGACTGATGGTTGACCAGTTGATGTTATTGATAAACAACAAAACTGTTTATATTTCACTTGCGGTAAATTATATTTTCGCAATATATTACGAAAACGTTGCAAGATTTCCAGTTTATTTTTTAGTATGAGGAGCTTAAGACAAATTTGTTTTCACTCAAATATTTTATGGAATCTCCGACTTAATGAACAAATTCCTCTATACATTTCGTATCTTGTATAAAACGTTTTACAAGAGAAAAATTTAAAGCTTTCTTCTGTGTAAATCTATTTTGAATATCCAAATTTCGTATTCATTATTATTTTCCAAGATATTTCATTGAAATTCATATGGAATTTTAATGCCAAACTTTGAACTCAAAAACATACACTTACCTCTTGTTGTTTATATTAATACGGTGTAGTTTGTGATCACTGTAGCACTTTTGCTTATCTAGAACCCTGAAGTTCCCATTATAAGTTCGATGGGAGAAAGAGAAAGAATCATAGTTCATGCGTTCTCTCCCTGGATTACAGAAATTTGCGAAGGCTGTTTGTACATTCATTTCTGTCTGTACAACTGATTATTACTGAGAAATATGCTGTAAAGTTTGGTACCGGTGAGGTGGTATTATTCTGACCTTGATAGGTGAATGTTAAAACGTCAATACAACTAAAGGTTTCACTTGATTTATTTGAAGAAACCTTCAGCTTTCTATATAAGTTACCGGCAAACCATTTAGTAGTCAATAGTACCATAGCGGTGATTCAACAATGCATAGAGATACATGCACCAGCTAACACGTAGACCATTCATATAAAATTCCTTTTAGACATTTATAGAAAATTATGTGAATTTTACATTATCAGAGGAAGTGGTTGATCTAAAAACTCTTTTAAACAGTTTGAGACATTAACATATATTAATTTTACCAGTTAAATTGATTGATTAATAGTTATCTAACAGAATTAAGTGCTCAGAGTGTCATAAATAATAGATTCAACTTTTATGCTTGTTATTTATACTTAACAAGGTTTTAATGAGTTTTTTCTTGCTGATTATTATTCTAGGTGGACCATCATTCTTGTTCGCCTTGAAAGTGAAATTCTTCGCTTCTGATCCGCACAATTTACATGATGAGTATACACGTTATCTTGTGGTGCTACAATTACGAGAGGAAATACACAAAGGAACCTTGGCGTGTGCTGACCTACAACTAGGCGCTGAATTGGCTGCATTACTTCTTCAAGGTTAACTATACATAATTTTATCATTTGTATTTATTGTGTGTATACAGATGTGCTTTTGAAAGGTTTCATATAGTCTATACTAATCGTCTCTTAGTGTTTAGTCTAGGTGAATTCATTTCATTGTTCTAGGAATGAAAGTGATTGGTTTTAGCTAAGTGACTTTGAAGAAGCAGGTGGTTTTCTAGTAATAATTATTTATAAAGCAAGCAGTTTTCATCATCTTATCATATCTAAACAATGAATTGGAATAAATAGCTCTCATCTCCATGATTCATAATTCACTATGGTCTAAATTTCAAATGATTGATTGACTGATAAAATCAGCGTAGAACCTATGTATTGAAGTTGCTACACTTTTCAGTAGTACAAAAAGAGCAGATGGATGAAAAAAGAGTGATATCAAAATCGAAAAAGTTGTGTAAGAGAACAGTTTGAGGATAAAGGTTGGTGCACAAATTCAAGCTTAAGAAGACGTAGAAGACATCGAATATTTCTGCACCACGGTAACCGATTTTTAGCCATTATACCAAGATTCCTCAACCACTGATTCCTTTCATCTTGGGAAGCTCAAGCGGCCAGCCTATATCACGCCATATTGCTCACGCAAATAGTAATAGACTTCATGCACTGGTGCCGAACATAGCATATCAAAGTGGGCGGTGGGTTAGCATTCACAGTAAGTACCCAAGCCATCTCAGCCAGCTAAGGTTCACAATCTCATCAATCGATTTGCCGTTCTCGGTTGATTGACTGACTGAAAACCAATATTATGAGAGTAACAAGTTTTTAGATACTGACATTTGTTCAATGCTGTGAAGACATAGAGTATGAACGTATAAGACGTAAAATATAGAGAATTACATACATGTATATAATCTCAAAGCTTCGATGAGTGGTCATCGTGCGGGGGGATCTATGTGAGGGCTTGGTAAGATTATCACGTATCCTAATCAAAAGTACTTTTACTAGACAGTTTGCGATATTTGTTCCATTACATCTTAAGATAATACTTCACGACTAGCTTTTTTCATTCAAGTCTCTGGACGCTTATCCTTACCTGGACTATGATTGATCTCAAGGACAGAAAGACCAAGAGCTAATGGGTCTTGAACGACTTGAAACTCCTCCACCCTTCTCAACAACTTGTAGGGAGTCATTTTCAGGACCTTAAGGTGTTACGTTTACATGTATGTTGTTATTCTGTTAGTAGCTCAAAATTCAGTGGTCAACATTTTTTAACTTCACTTGGTCAGTAAAATAAGAAAGTTGTCATTCAGCATTAACGATAAGCACTCGTCATCATCTACACCTCGAAAAAGCACTACAGTGAATTCATCTATTCCATTTGATGAACTAACCTGGATATTCATTTCATATTAGAATATTATTGGTGTTTTTTGTTAAATTATATTTTGTCTGGTATATTTTATGTTAGTATTCTCTTGATATTTTCAGTTGCACAGTTCATCAAATTTATGTTCTTGTGAGGTAGTAACAAGTTCTAACTTTTCATTTCATATTCAGTAAATGTTTTATTTATGTAGTAATGTTAAATACCATGATGTGATTTGTTTGTTGATGGCTAAAAGTGAAGCTCAGGACGCATGTTTTATCTTTTTTGACACTCGTAAGTTGGATGTATCTGCATCTCGGTGAGTGATGGTGTTTTGACTCAAATTCTTGCTCAGCACCCACATCTTAAATACCAGGGCGTTACCCACTTGGCTAATGGGTTGCCTGAGCCATTTCTGGCGTGACGGATATCAATTGTTATTTATTAATACTTGTAATTTTCGTTTGATAATTATACTAGAATGGACTGATCAGTCTCTGCCAGCATATGAGTTGCTGCACAGCTGCTATAATATCGTCTGAAATGTAGGTATACCCAGCTGATAAGTTGTAAACAGGATGAAATGCGTGTCTTAGATCCTACCTCAAGTCACCACAATACAGACTGGTTTTATGCTTAAAAGATTTACAATACGAATTTGACGACATTCTGCATAGACACTTGAAAGAAGTGGCTGCTCGAGGTCCTCTGAGTTTGATACTAGCTGATATTATCATGGTAAACTGATGAAAGTCTACTCTGAAACCGATGATTGATAAATTTATCCTGTATTTGGAGGGTACTTTTTTGAAATCTGATAGTCCCCAATAAGCGTCAGATGTGCTTCAGATTTTCAGTACTGTCCTTCTGAACATCTGGTTTACAATGGAATTCAAATCATAAGACTAACTGGGCTTTTGACATACCATAAACCAAAGGAAAAGGGTTATGTTGGAAGCAGTGCTTGTCGAAAAATGACTTGGATTAGTCATGTCCAATCACTTACAAGAGGGGGATAATGGGAACATTTTAATGAAGAGGGGAGAGGATATACTCCGAATTGGAACTCGAAGCATAACTGAAGCTGATTGTTGGATGTCTGCTAGAAGATGGACACTCTGTAAAGTTCATTCGAAAATACTTCACAAACAAAGGGAGATAAATACAGCCACAAAGAAAATAAAGCTAATTTTCGTGAAACTAGTTATCACGAGTGATGAAAAAGTGTAGAGAATAGAAAAAAACACATTAGAAAAGTCAAGTGGATCACCTGCTTACCTAGAAAGTTATTGCCATTATGTCAAACCATATTCCAGATGACTTAGTTAAAAGTGGACAAGATGTTGACTTTTTGTATCACCAATTGTGCTTACCAGTTGTAGGTATTAAAAAGAAAGATATACCGGATCAACAAACAGACGATAATCTACCCAACTTTTTGTTTATGTATGAAGAAATTTTAGTCTTAAGGTTTGTGGTTCGTTTACTAGTGTAATAGTCTGTGATTATAATTGACGCAGAACACACAGTCAACGTATCAGAAGCCCTTGTAATCGTCAACGGAAAAATGACTTAAACTATAATGTGGTTTACTAAAACCATAATCCTCAAGCAAAGGACACAAGTAATAATCTATGTTCAAGAAGAAATTATGGTCAATGTGCCACCGCCTTAGCAATGAATGACTTTGTTCTTTAAGACAGGGTTCACCATCTCTCTAAGACTATCTTAAACTCTTCTCTTTCTTTTTTCTTTAACCCTGTTTAGTCTCAAATCACAGTTTTTCATTAAAAATTCTTTACAATTGCCATGGTTATCATATTCCGCTTATCTCACACATTTATCAGCTTAAAATGCATGACTCTTCATATGACTACGCAATCGCCTTTTATAATATGTAAATTTCTGTCATCAGCTGCAAAACATGTTTCTTATAAATATGTATCTAGTTTAACTCACTATCTTGTCATTTGTCCCCGCCTCTTCAACGTCTGAACTGATAATGTTAACTGGTTGGGGGCAAGTGATAGGAAGCCCTGTAAGAACTAGGATTCATGCATGTTGGGACTCGTCAGCAGGGTGTATCTGCAACCTCGACGAAACCGACGTCCCCTGGAGACTCCAATCTGCGATACCCAGAGTTTTAGTCAGTTATGTTACAACTGAGCTATCAGGATTACGGTTGACTGCGATTGACATGAAATTAGTTGCTCTCTTGTGACCAATCAATGAACTGATAATCCAACATCTTGCATCTGTGTATACAATCATATATTGATTACAAATTTATTTGTTGTATACAGCAGATGAAAGTCCTGTGTACTGAAATGATGTCATTTTGTTTCTACAAATGCTTTCCTCATCGTTTTACTGAAGTTAACCATCCCTTTAAGTAGAAGATATGTAAAGGCTACACGTTTTCGACAACAGATGTCTTCGTCATATACTAGCATATTGCGGAATTACCATATGTACAACGACAGAGTAAAGCATGGAGTAGTGGGGAAAAAAGGCAAAGCAGTAGATGGAAATATGAATCGTGACCGACTGAGGCGGAATGAACTCCGGTTTCATATACCGGATCATCAGCTAACACGAAGTGAAATGCTGGCAGAAATAGGATTGAGTTAGAAGAAGCTTATGAGTAGCCAGACTAAGACGTGGTATTAGTCCACCAAATTTTTAACTGTTGACCTGACTTGTGTGATTGTTCTTTGAGTTCCTAGCGGAAAATAGGGCTTCAGTAGCACGTCGTCATTCCACTCTCTTCTCTGCAATCTTTTGAATCTGGCTCCACGACAGCCCACAAGCTCTCATTTCTTCCACGCACGACATCCTCCATATCACCCTCGGACTACCAACTCATCGTTTCCCATCTGGGTTCCACTCGACGGCCTGATACGTCATGTATCCAATCGGTCTTCTCAGTGAATGCCCAATCCACCTCCACTTCCTTCTGCATATTTGTTAGGCGATAGGTTCTTGGTTGGTTCACTGCCAGCCCACCAGCCCGCCAGCCAGCCAGCCAGAGTTCCTTGTGTCTTATTCTTATTATCCTGGCCATCTGATATTCAGCATCGAGTGAGTGTAGGCGGCAGTTGCTGATGAATGTCTGCAGTTTATTGGAAATGCCTTTCGTAACGCGCCAATTCTCTGAATCATATAGAAGCACTAACTTGACTGGAGTTGTTGTTGAAAATCCGTATGTTGTTCACGCTCTATGCTGAGTGGAGTGCAGTAGATCTCCACAATGGTTTCAGGTTAATGAAGGAAGGATTGCCTTACTGCCTTTCTAATCCTGGCTTTGACATGCTCATCTGTTCTGCCTGTTTCCGAAATTATGCTGCCTAAATGGGTGAAAGAGACAACTTGCTTCAGATTTCTCCTGTTGATGGTGATTGATACCTGTTGTTATTGTTGTTAGTTGGTCGAGCATCCTCATCACCTCTGTCTTATCTACATCCACTTGAAGTCCCATCATCGCTGACCTACCTCTTCTGTCAACTTGCTTGTCTTCTTGGCCTGTAGATCTTCGAGTTTGTGTGATGAGATAGATATTGGACATAATTCATCGTCGTTGGCGAAATCCAAATCGTGTAGGGTCTTTTCATCGATGCAGTCAACGTATGCCCATTTTTCAGAGCTCCTCACAGTTGTCTGTTGCATG